CCACTCATAAGCATAGATGTTAAAATTAAGAGTAAATACTTTCGTAAATAAATTGAAAGCTTGCCGTTAAAATGTAATTATAAGAGACTGTATAAAAAAATGGGCTGCGACATTTTTCCTATTCTCATGTCAGCACCAGGCATGGAAAATCATTTGCATTCATTTCATGCATTCATATACATTCATTTGCCTCTAACTTTTTTCATCAACAGAATTCCGCAAAATGATGTATGGAGCTTTTGTAAGTTTTATTATTAGCTACAACTTTTGTTAACATCTCTTATGTATGACGAAGCAGAGCGAACAGAAGCCCACTACTGTTTTTCAGTGAATTTATTTTACATTCACTGAAAAACAGTAACAAGTTCTGTCCACTCTAATTCTTGATGCATAGTAGATACAGATTTGAGTTACGGGCAAAAGTTGTAGCTAATAACAAAACCTTCTTCTTTTTCTTCTTATTCGCATTTCAAGCTTATTGCATATCGCATATTAGCTTATTGCGTGCTCTCAACTTAGTGTTCTAGATGCACTTCCACAGTTATTAATTGAGAGCTTTCGATGCCTGTAGCATTTTTGCATTAGTATAATTGTGTGGCAAGTCCAATCATACTTCTGTGCCCAGGGAAGTTGAGAAATTTTCCAACCCGAAAAATTCGTAGACCGGACCGGGAATTGAACCCAGCCACCTTCAGCATGGTCTTGCTTTGTAGCTGCGCCTTTACCGACTGAGCTAAGGGAAGCCCACAAAACCTACTGAAGGTCTATACATCATTTTGCGGATTGCTGTTGATGAAAAAAGTTAGAGGCAAATGAATGTAAATGATTTTCCATGCCTGTCAGCACTAAATTAAAGTTCGGAAGTCTGACTTTCGACTTCCAAACCTACTTCCGCCATACTTTGCGGAAATCATGACTTTAAGATTGTTGTTGTTGTTATTGTGGGTACTTTTGACAGCTCTTTTGCAATACTACCAGTCAAAGTGGGAAGTAAATTTATCAGCGATATACAGATTTTTTTTTTCTAAATGCCAAATAAAACCAAAAATAAGTAGAGCTAATCAACTCATTGCCGACTACGAAAAATTAACGACGTACAATCACAGAAAACAGACGTTGAGGCTCGAACAAAAGTTGTTCAAAAGTGGAAAATTTATAGAGGAAATCAGGAGATACTAGCCCAACGTAACGGCGATGTTCCCACTTATCTTTACACAAATTTCTGATGGAAGTTGGACGTCTCTGTGGTATAATGTTCCTCAGGGGTATACCAGTGAATCAGCATCTGCACGCTTATCTGTTCGCTAATCTTAATATAAATTGAGGTAATCATTTTACTCAGATTTGAGTTCGTGGCACAGAACTATCAATATTAGGTACTGCAGCTTAACGTCACAAATGAACTCAGTTGTTCATCGGATGAACTTCTTGACAATTCACTTTCTTGACAGTTGACTCTATGACCAGAAGGTCTCGACGAAACGCGCTCAACTTTTTGGCTCAGCTCTGGTACTCTCTACACTCGTAGCTACGATTACCTTAAATTATCGGTATTTTTTACCGATAAAAATCGATGCTTTTTACTATAAATAGGTTACTTTTTACTATAAATTAGGTAATTTTCAACGTTAATTATTGGTAATCCATGATTACCGACAATTCAGGTATGTGTAATTTTTACCGATATCTAGGTATTTTTGCCGACTTTAAGGTATGTGCATCTTAGCGTGTATGGTACTAAAATGGGGCTCTGCAACGTGACGCCACGAATGAACTCAGTGTTAATCGGTTGAACCTTTTTGACAGTTCAGTGGTACAAGCACTTAGTCGTTTAAAAAAAAAAAAAAAATTTTAAAATTCCTAATTTTAACTTGAAAATTGTTAAGGAACTCAAAGGATGTTGCTCGTAGAAAAAGGATGTTGCTCGTAGAAAAAGGATCGTGCTTGTGAAAGGATGTTGCTCGTAGACAATGTAAAAGTTTGGTTTTCATCTCACTACAGTCTGAAAAATTATCTAGAAAAGCTACCCAAGAAAAAAACGACTAAGTCCACGTAAACAGTACCACTGAACTGTCATCAGATTGAGGTTAACCCCGACGGTGCAAAACCTAATAGATGTACTTGGGACCAATAGGCTAGTCAAGTAGCGAGGCAATTTTAAATCGTTAGTTTCCACTGGTTGGTGGTACGTTTACAAGCACTTAGATTTTTTGTTTATTATTTTATTTGATAAGGCTCAACCGAATTAACTTTACAGAGCCGAGGATTCTTGTTCACTATACACTGAAGTCTTTTTACACGGTTTTTTTTACGCGGTTTTTTTTTTGCAATTGTACGTTTGCGACTGTACGTTTTTAACGATTTCTCGACAACGATACAACCTATCGCCTTGAATCCAATCACATTATCCGTTTCAAGCTATAGGTAATCGAGTGGCATACTTTAAAACAAATCACAATTTTTAGTGTAAATACAGAAATTTCTAAAATATGTCTAAATGTATCATATCATGCTATAATTACAAATGGCATCAAAATCCAATTTTTTAAAAATACATTTTAAAACTATAGTCAAAAGGTACAACACAATAAACATTGTATCTTTCGTTATCCAATAAGCCTCCTCCACCAGAACGGGAGCCGCTTCTAGTGGTTTCATTGCATGGCAGATTCGCCAACGGGGAGCAGAGCGCTTCCATTGCAGCAATGGACGCCAAACGAGGTCAGCACCCACACATTCATCACGAAACGGTTGCTTTCCAAAGTCAATGGTTACTGCTGAGTAAACAGATGATCGTTTGACACACATTGAGAGTGGTCTGCTTATGTCGACAGCCGCGTAAACACTAAGCACTTAGATGTTTTTTTCGAAAAACAAACATTAAAATTTCCGAGCGGCGCCGGTGGTGTACTGGTAAGCGTGATTACCTATCACCCCAGCAGGCCTGGCTTCAATCCCAGTCGGCGCCGCCGGGATGTTCTGAGGCATAACATTTCTGATCACGCCTTCCTTCGGAAGGGAAGTAAAGCCAGTGGTCCCCGGTTCATGAGTTGATGGGTCGATAGGTAGGGTCCAGGTATAGGAGCTGCCTCCCTGGCGTCGGTAGCATTGATGCTCAGCACGGAAAACAGGGTCGACGGAAAACAAACTAAGGAAAAAAAAAATTAAATTTCCGAATTTATAATTTGCAAATTGTCGAGGAAATGCACGGAGAAATGATGTTGCTTGTATTGCAGAAGTGTGGTTTACATCTCAGTGCAGTCTGAAAAATTATAGAGAAAATCTACCCTTGAAAAAATCGAATAAGTACCACTGTTTACGTGTTTCACTGTCATCCGATTGATGTTAACCCGAGTGGTGCAAAATCTTATTGCTTAAAAGTACCAAGAAAAGTTGGTAAACATTACCAGAAAGTCAAGTTTCTCTCATACATCATATCATGGATGGCGGAGGCGCATGGAAATGGTCATCCTAATGATAAAATAAAAAAAAGAAGGGTTTAATATTTTGCGATAAGGAACAAAACTTCAAATTTTTACGAAATTCTGAGAACCACTATATCGATTTGCTATGGAATGGCTGTATATCATATATCATATCATAGGGGAAACTGAATGATTAATTTTACTCAAATTTGTCTGAAAAAAATATTTGACGTTTGTGAGTCTTCGTTTCATTCTGGTCTGGGTTTAATCCTGGGAGGACGGATACCGACTGGAAGCAGGGGGAAGAAAACCAATGGGGAGCAAAAGGACGAATACCAACAGGAAACAGAATCATGAAACACTTAAAACTAGCATTTTTCAAGAGACTACGGTCCATACACAGTAAAACATATGTATGGAGGGAAGAGGGGTCTCAAAAACTGTCAAATCTGCCCCTAATATATTTTTTGCGGTGTAGCTACACCAGAACTGCATCGCCGTACACCATCACTATATAGGGTGTTTGAGGGTGCACATTTGTTTACAAACAAATGATGTTAAGCTGTCATGACTCGTGCTTATTGGCGCTTACACTACACCGGTACTACACCGCAAAAACGAAAACGACATAAGACTCTCTTCTGTGAAATAAATTCACTTTAGCCTTCTTTCTTTCGCGGAAGCAAACTTTGAATGGTTTCGAATACATCTCATTGAGTACATATTATGTACACAATTGCCTACGCAATTGGACATCTACAGATTACTTACCAAGAAAAATAAAATTTGATTTTGCTGCTTGGTGGTATAAAAAGCCACGCCTATTCTGCGAGTCTTGTGACTCTCTGTCACTAGTGAGGTCACACAAGTCGCGTCGTGTGGGGCCTCCCTTAGCTCGGTAAAGGCGGTCCGGTCTAGGAATTTTTTCGGGTTGGAAAATTTCTCGACTTCTCTGGGCAAGTATGTACTTGCCACTCAATTATACTAATGCATAAATGGTACAGGCATCGAAAGCTCTTAATTAATAACTGTGGAAATGCATGTAGAACACTAAGTTGAGAGCATGCAATAAGCTAAAATGCGATAAACAATAAACTTGATATGCGAAGAAGAAAAAGTGGTAGTAGTAGTAGTAGTAGTAGTAGTAGTAGTAGTAGTAGTAGTAGTAGTAGTAGTAGTAGTAGTAGTAGTAGTAGTAGTAGTAGTAGAAGAAAAAAAAGTAGTAGTAGAAGAAGAATAAGAGATGTCTTTGCATTTGATTTGCACGTAGAGTGACCTCATACGACATGACTTTTGTCACCTCACTAGTGACAGAGAGTCACACGACTCGCAGAATAGGACTGATAAACATTTTTTTTTTCAATCTGCTGCAATTGCTTAAGGGAACATTGATATAGAATTGTTTTTTTTTCCTAAAATTGATCTCACAAATAAAATTCCTTCGAAAAGCCTCATGATAGATCGAAAACCAGACCGTTGTTGTGGTGGAACGCGTTCGCTTCAGGTAGTTAGAAAAATCTGTCTGATGTTTTCTATTTTTTTCTTTTTGCCTCATCAATATATTCAATTTCACAGGTATCGTTTTTCCTGTCATCATACGTCGTCCCACTCACGCTGATATCGATGCTGTATATTGGGATGCTGGCCCGGCTATGGAAAGGTGCACCAGGAGGTCGAGTCTCGGCTGAATCTAGGTAATACGGATATTTGTACCGACGGAAATTGATTGCATGCATCGTGTATCACCCCATCTCTCATATATCTGTATTCCAGTGAAACGTCGACGTTGATGTGAGGGATCCGGTGTTGTAGACGAAAGTGTTTCGATTTTAAGGATAATTTGATTAATTTATTAGTCTTGTTGGAAGTTCCAATCAATGTGGATTCTGGGAACAGAGTGATGGATAATTAAAAGTTTATTATCAAATTACCGGGATAGGGTGTGATGTCTAACATGTGTTTTAAAAGTATAAAAAGCCTTTTCCGTTCACACAGTTGATCAATTTATTGACCGCATGCATTACATTAATTTCGCGCAATCATTTACATTCATTTGCCTCTTAACTTTTTTCATCAATAGAATTCCGTAAAATAATGTATGAAGCTTTTGTAGGTTTTGACATTACTTTTGAATAACTCAAATCAGTATCTCTTATGCATGACGAACGGGCAGAATTTGTTATTGTTTTTTAAGCGAATGTAATTTACATTCACTGAAAAATAATGGTGGGTGTTGACGATAGACGTCTTGCCGCACTTCGAAGGCAAGTTGGTGGTTAACTTGCACCGAGACGAACTCTGCAGTATTAACTGCCCAAACAGAGCCCCTGATCACTAAGTCCCATCTTATGGGGGGACTTTATCGCACAATCGACCACTAGCCGCAGTCAAATGTTAAAGTTGGATGTTTAGCTCAACATTGAAAATAATTTATCTCTTCGACTGACCACAGAAACAGACGACGTAGGTCCTGTTTACTTCAACGTGTATGTTGCAACTGACATTTACAATTTTTAGCTATTCCCGAATATTTTTTTACCATGAAAAAACAATAGAACCTATTGTTACATACAATATAATCTATTGTTAATGAGATATTTACAATAGATAAGATTTGATCTCATTACAATAAATTTTATTGTGCAAAATTTTGATTTCATAGAATTTGTTGTAAACCTATTCATTAATTTCCTTTATTTAACGTCGGTCTCTGTTCCGCAATCTAGTGCCAATCACCGATGGACATCGATTGCCATCCATTGACGGCAATCGAATGTGCAGGAAGGCAGCTTCCACGCCTGCCTAGGATATCGCACCCATTCAACACACATGACACATGGGGCGGGACCAACGGCTTTACTTCCCTTCCGAAGGAAGACGTGACTAGAGATTTTTATGGCTCAGAAAAATCCCACCGACCTCGGCTGGGATTGAACCCAAACCCATTGGGATGAGAAAGTAGTCCCGCTTACCACTACACCGCTGGCGCCGGTGACTTGTAAATCTATTGTGCACAGCAGAAAATAAATTTTAATATTACATCCAAGAAGATGCACTTCAATCATGTCGAAAATCTCATGTATTTTTTATGGCCACAAAAATAAACAAATGCAGTAAAAGCAGCGTAATGTCTGTTCATGCATTGTATTAATGATAATTTTGTCCTTTTTGCCAAGCAATATTACACCATATTTTTGACACGATTGAAGTGCATCCACTTTGATGTGACATCAAAATTATTTTTTTGCTGTGTGGTGACTATTTGATTATTTGACTACTACAACAGAATTACAATAAGATTAATTGTCAACAATAGAACCTATTGTATTTTGTTGATATTTTATTGTAATTTTATGGTTCTTTTTATTCGGTTCGCTTCTTCTACTGCCATAGTTGCCATCGTTACCGGTCGTTATCGTATCAATTATTCAAAACATAACTAATTGGATTGATATTTTTAAAACCTTATTCCTATCTCCAACAGTGGGTTCCGTTCGCTCTGGTTAATCATGCAAAAGAGACACAGATTTTTTTTTTTCAAATTTCTGCGATATATAATGCACACGTTATTAAGGCTACATTTGGCGTAAATTTAAACGATATTTCGTGTAAATTTAAACGCAATTTCTAATAATCCAGCAGTGTTGCATACAAGCTTGTAAACAATTTCGATGTTTCTGCCGACTATGGCTTAACGAAGGGAGATATTACGCGAAGGTTAAAATTTAGACTTTAGACTGTGTTTATTCGTGATTTTAAATTAAATTGTTGTTAAAGAAGTTATCTTTCACATAAATTTCAATACTTAATAGTATTAGGTATTGCAATTTAAGTATTAATACTTCCTTGAGTGGCAGGCCCATTGCCATCCCTCCCCAAGCAACTCAGCTTGTCATAAACTGGTTTACATAACTTATATATGACAATCTCATCGGTGAAAATATACTTCTAGTAACATATATTCAACTCATTTATAGCGAAAAAAGCGCAAGAGGTGGGATCTATATATAACATATAGTTATATATAAATTTAATCCTTCCTACAAATGGCATTTGTTCATACTCCCATCATGATTGTGGGGAATTTTATTGTGCGAATAAAGTGTATAAGCTGAGATTCCGTACTCAAAACTTTTGTTCGGTTGAACATTTATAGTGAATCATTACATTCTACTTCATAAAAATTGATTGGCTCTTAGAAAAAGCTTGATACAATAAATTGAATTGTACAAAAAATTCTGTATAAAATTTCCCAGTTTCGAAAACTTCAAATTTTTAGCAAAACAAACCGAATTTCAACCTTTTTTTGATTATCATACTTTTCTCTTCTTCATAACGTCAATGGGATGTTGAAAGCACAACTGAAAGTTTTTATTTTATTCTATATTTTGCTTCATCGGTCAGCCATATTGCAATTTGTAGAAAATATCTAGAAATGAAATAATTGTTATCAAAACATGTTTACAACACGAAAAACAAGAACATTACTTGTATCATATATTGAAGTTATAATTCGGTTTTGCATTTCTCAATTACTTGTTTATAACACATTTATAACTGATTGTTTTGATGAAAACTTCCTAGCCTTATATACAACATGTTTTCATATGTTATATTTGGAAACATGAATAGAACTGAAATATAGCTGTTATAACATGTTATAAATAAGTTACATTCTAGATGTATTCATGTTTGCTCATGGTTCTAAATCTTACATATGAAAACATGTTGTATATAAGGCTAGCAAGTTTTCACCAAATAATATCAGTTATAAATGTGTTGTAAACAGGTAATTGTGTCGTGCAATACCGATTTATAACTTCAAGATAACAACTGCCTGTAAGAAAGGTTGAATACTTCACAAACAACAATACACCGGGTTTAAAACAAGATGTTTTCTAAGCAATCAATATATAACTTATTTACAACTGGGATTTGTTACATTTTTCATAAACGATGTTGCAAGTGTTACTTGGGTCGTGAGGGACAGTTTGACCCCATCGTGAGATGATGTAGTTTGGCTGGTTTGTTACGATTCCTCGTGAAAGACATCTTCATTCGTTTGTCGTTTTTTTAAACTGAACAGTTTGTATTTTTAATTAGGGGAAACGCTCCTATAGTTGCGGTACGTTAGTAGCATTAGGTTCCCATAGTTGTGTACGGAGTCTCCATACACAACTATAGGAACCTAACGCTTCTAACGTACCGCAACTATAGGAGCGTTTACCCTACACATCGATCGATTTATTTATTTTTTCAACCAAATCTGTAAAAACTTCTACGTGTGTAGATGCGGCTTACATTTATCCGCAAATGATCCTAGACAAAAGCTGATTTCGAAACTTAAAGGTTGCTCTCATCAAGGTGTTATAATATGTTAAATTAGTAATTCAACCATGTTTTGTCTATGGCACCACAACGCCCCAACTCCCCTGCCCACGCTCGCATCGCCAATATACTATCAAAGCTGCAGCACCATACTATACTCACCATGGCCTTGATGATCAAGAGAATGTTATATCTTTCTTTTATTTAACGTCGGTCCCTGTTCCGCAATCTAGTGCCAATCACCGACGGACATCGATTGCCATCCATTGACGGCAATCGAATGTGCAGGAAGGCAGCTTCCACACCTGCGTAGGATATCGCACCCATTCATCAACACACATGGGCCGGGACCATCGGCTTAACTTCCCTTTCGAAGGAAGACGTGACTAGAGATGTTTATGCCTCAGAAAAATCCCACCGACCTGGGCTGGGATTAAACCCAGACCTATTGGGGTGAGAAAGCAGTCACGCTTACCACTACACCACAAGCGCCGGCAGCCAAGAGAATGTTGTCATGCACGGTTTGAAAAATTCATGTAAAATTCTGCGATATATAGCGCATATAAAATTAACACTATATATGGCATAAATTTTACACGATATTTCGTGTAAATTTAAGCGCAATATCGCTTAAATTGACAATACTGTATGAAAGCTTGTAAACGATTTTGTTGTTTATGCCAACTGTAGCTCAAAATTAAACGAGGGGAGATTTTACGCGACAGTTAAAGTTCAGATTTTTTTCTGTTTGTATTTCAAGGTTTACTTGAAATTAAGAAAATTTTAATGTAGAAGTAATTATTTATATCAACAATCATGATTTTTCAAATGCGCAATCACATTTATTTTAAGCATATTTCACCATATTTGACAAGTTTAGATTATAGATCGTGAAAATTAATGAGACATGTCATGCAATATTCCATATATTGTATGCAACTGTCCAATTTTGTTTGCAACATTTCTTGCAAACTGCTAGTTTACGTGAAAAGGAAGTTTACATGTATCAATGTTTGCATGCATGGATGTTAGCATCGCCAGTAAAATTCAGAGATTTTTGGTGTGCACTATTCAAAACAGATGGATTAGAAGTGTGTTGCATTTTAATGTGATGTAAATTGCTTGTTCTGCAAAGTAATCATCAAAAACAAAAGTTATGACTTCTTCCTTAGGGGCTGTTCATAAACTACGTAGACAGATTTTTTTGGATTCTTGATCCCCCCCCCCTCTCCCTGCGTGGACAAATGTCCATACAATTTTTTTTTAATTTTTATGGGCTGTGGATAATTGTAACCCCCCCCCCCCCACATCCACACCTCCTAAACTGTCTACGTAGTTTATGAACAGCCCCTTATCAACCAGATCCAACGAAGACAACGGCAGCAGCACACCCCAATACTCCAGTATCGAATCCCAAATCAGACCCATTAAAAAAGGCATTTGTAAGCTCCACCCTCTGGCAGACTTGTTTATATATTTGTCGATCATTTTTAGAATCGGTATAGCAGAAGTCGATAGAGCACAATATTTGTAACACATTGAACTATGATGTGTAAAGCATTTGATATCACAGACAGACACATAGAATTCAAATGTGTCACAATACGAATCAATAGTGTTGAGGCATGGTATAAGATTCACACATAAAATGGATGTGTATTACAATAAGTTCGAAATTAAGTGTGAGACACATGATGTAGACGTGTGAAATTTGTAGAGTGTACATTCATTGCATTAATTTTCATTCTACCGGTTTAATCCACAGGCGAGGAAAAAAACGAGTCACGAGAATGGTAGTAGTCGTGGTTTTAGCGTTTGCGATATGTTGGTGCCCTATTCAGGTAAGTTTTATTTTCCACCTTATGCAATATTTATATAATATACGATTGTATGGCAAAAGGTCGAAAGAAAGACAAATCGACGAATGACAAAAGATCAAAATAATCAAAGATAGTCAAAAGGTCTAATGATGAAAAGGGGGCCTACGACCTGCATGGACAAAAGGTCGAATGATGAGAAGATCAAATGAAAACTTGCCACAAAAGATCGGATGGACAAAGATCGAATGGACAAAATATCGGACGGACAAAAGATCAAAAGGACAAAATGGCGTATGGTATGATAAGGGGGGCATACGGTCGAATGAACTGAAGGTCGAATGATTAAAAGAGAGACAAAAAGTGAAATGATTCAGAGGGACATAATAAAAAGGTCGAGTTGACAAAATGTCGAATGACGAAAGGTCTAAGGTACAAAATGTCGAATGGACAAAAGGTCAAATAAAGAGAAGGGGGACAGAAGGTCGAATGAACAAAAAATGATTTAAAAAGGAACAAGAAAAAGTCGAATGGATAAAACGTCGAATGATTTAAAGAGGGACAAATGTCTAATGATGAAAAGGGGCAAAAGGTCACATGGACAAAAGGTCAAATGATGCGAAGGTAGACAAAAGGTTGAATGAAGTTCGCAAAAATATACTAAAGTTCGCAGAACGCCCCTAAGGTTTGTTGAATTTTACTGAAGTTTAGAATTTTACTCAAGTTTAAAAAACTTGTGTCGGAAAATCGGAATCCGATTGCAACCCGTCAAAAATATGTCTACCAATTCCGACTCCGACTTCGGAATAGTAAATTTATAAGAACGTTTGTTAATTTTGTATGATTAATTAGTTTTAAATTAAATATAAAATGCTTACAGCATAGCATCGAAATACGACTAGTTAGCTCAAAAATCACGGTATTTTTATTAGGGCCTCTAATTGTTCTTCAGAATCATTTATCAAAATATATTATTAGAAAAATTTAAAGATTCTGAGAAGCACATTTATCATGTTGCAAAATAGACGACATAATGACATGGACATAGATGACAAACTTTGATGTCGTGTTTAACGATCCACATAGCGGTATTACATCGGTAAAAAAATAGATGCGGATGATTTCCATGACTTCAAGCCATGAACATTAATCCGTTAGTGATATGTTTCGGAAAACCTGACCGATTTTCTTACAGTAATATCGCGAGAAATATCGAGCTCTACTACATAGAACATTTTACAAAGATCATAATCCGGATCCTGATCCATGAAGTTATTAAATTCCCAGTAATGCCTGGTAAATTACCTTTTCGTGATGCGTTACTGGAATTAAGATCTACGAAAGAAGCCTAGTCCGAATTACTTCAAACTGTTCCCCTAGGATTGTTTTGTAATCAAAGGAACACATAATAGTCCTCTTTACTAGTTATGCCCTGTTGAGCCCTTTCACTATTGCAATGCTTGGTTACATTCTTGCCAAGACAATGAGTCTGATAAAGCATAATAAACAAATGTATCAATAGCAAATTTTCATTATGTCGAAAGTAACATTCGCACCGATCCGAGAAAAATAAAATTTTGTATTAATGACCGAAAAGTTATTCATATTTCCTTCTCATAGTGATAGTAATGTTTAACATATTTAACAGGGTTTTAATCATCGCAAGCTTTCATGCTACTGTTTACTGTTTTTTGAGTCTAAAGTTATAACACGTCGTTTGATGGCCCGCTAATGTTGCTTAAGTCAAAGTGTATTTACCAGGATATTCGGGAGAATTATAAATCACGTCTCCTCCATCTTAACAACAATCAGTTCAATTTATTCACTTTAATAATGAGAAAGCGAAACGACGAACGTACACTTTTCACGAGTTTCTCTGCGCTGCTACTCAAGACAAACGGCATCTTTATAGAAATCGGATGATTTGACTGGTAAATAAATGTAAAAATGGGATGTGATCCTATATTCGGACAGTAGGGGGAAATGTATGCAATGTCGGCCTAAATGCCCCTAATTTGGGCCCATACATAAATTCATCAATCGACTAAATTTTCAAGCGACCAAAAATAACCCATTACTACCGTCCCGATGACGCGTTCATCTAGATAAAATTGATAAATAGCAGATTTTTAGCGATGGGCCCAATCTTAGATCCATAGGCCAACATTAGAGCCATTTCCCCTATATATTTAGTGTAATAGCAGGACCTTTGTTACTTTCGACGTAATGAAAATTTGCTCTTGATATAAACAATCACGAATGACGCTTGTGTGGGTCGAAACATTGTAATAAAACACATCATTTGATTAAGTGCGATCCCAGAAGAACCTAAATCTATTAGATTTGATTGCATTTGTCTTTCAAATAGTCTGTTTCAATCAAATCTAGAGCATCCAGATCTATTTAACTTGATTGAGGAATTGAGAGAATTCGAGTTTATCCAATTTGTGACTAGATAATATGTAAACTTTGTATGAGTATCAATTCAACAAATTATGTTAATTCACCCTGATATTTTCGGCGGAGGTTCAACAACACGTGAAAAAATGCATAAGTCAATAGAGCCATGAGGCAATTATTCAGAAAGTTTATTTCTATGCGTGGAAAATCCATGGGGATGCTAATTTGATTCTACTTTCCCTTCACAGGTCATTCTGATGCTAAAGGCCTTTGAGGTGTATGAAGTCACACACGCTAGCATCATCATCCAAATCGTGGCGCACGTACTGGCGTACACCAACTCGTGCATCAATCCCGTGTTGTACGCTTTCCTATCGGATAATTTCCGGAAAGCATTCCGCAAGGTGAGTAACAACGGAACGAGCTGCAGACATTCGACCAGCGCACATCCACGGTGGTAAAAATTTATTTATTTTTTATTAAGCACTTTCACAACGTCTAATTGAATCATTAGTTTAAATTGGTTTAGGCTGCTTGAAATTAATTTATTGCTTTAAAACGCTCATAAAAAAACGGTCATTTTTGGGGTAAAATTTTCCACTGTGCGGTACATATGTAAGACTTGAAGTACTATACCTCGCAGGCTTGATGTGCGCTGGTTGGGATGTAATGTTGAGGATGGATTTAATTTAATAATTTCTCTCCCCCGCGTTCAAACTCATTTGTTTGTTCTATTACGCAACACATCGCAACGTTGAACAGTGTGGTGTCGGTCTGGAGTTGTAATTGATAAAGATTATTTTTCTCTGATTTATCTTTGTGCTGCAATCCCGATGGACTTTGAACCAGGTGGTATGGTGTGGAAAGCCTCCCTCGCTCATGCCACAGGGCGGTCCTCAGACGAAAACCACCCGTACTGGTAATGGGACATCTAATGCGGATGTTTTGTGAGTGGAAGTTGGTGATAGCAAACTTGTTGAAAAGTACATCGAAATTACTAGTGTGTAGGATAACCACTTGCCTGGGCCTGATGCATTGTAAATAGCTAGCATAAATCATCCAAACAGTAGATTAGATATATGTGACTACCACAACAAGTTGGCTTTCGATTGGAAGCACAAAGTGTGCTACCATCACAGTATCAATAAGGGATTTCTCAGAATCTTGCTATGTGTACGACTAGCAAACAGAAAACCATGAAGGATAGATTGTTCACCCGAAGCTTCATAGTAAAAGTGATTGAACTTGACAAATCATTCAAACAAACTGATGTATATACGTCTACATTGTGCTCAAAAATCCTGGAACAATCCTACGGTCATATTGAATTTCCTTTCTGTTGATTACAATCACCACCGTCCGTTCAGGTTTGTATCATATGATATGATTCATATTATCTATCTAACAGTAAGCTGACACGTGCCCTTCTACGGTCGTACAGTAAAAATAACCACACCGGTGAAGAAGTGTTTCATATACGGGTTCAAAACATTGTCCTTCTGATAAAGGTACCATACAACTGAAGAACAAACAGGCTTTGATTGTTTTCAACCCATATTGGATTTTATAGTTGCAGTAAACTTCATGGAGAGGGATGGTGAGGGGTATCCCCTCACCAAGGTTAGTGGGGGGGGGGGGGTATACCCCTCACCATCCCTCTCCAACGGGGGAGTTTGATAAAGAGAGATGATCAAACCGATTTGTACCTTCCTTAAAAAAAGTTGTCCTAGCTCGCTATTCTACTATCTATATGCAATTTTAACACTGCCGTACTCTAACGGAACTATCAACTCTATACTTTCATCTCCTCATCTATCGTATAAAAAATAGCACTTTAGTCTGTTATTTGAAATTAGCATCTTCAACTACACTTAAGTCTGTTATTTGAAATTAACATCTTCAACTATATAAACAAAAATGTGAAAGTCATTACTGATTTCTGTAAAGGTCAGAAGGTTCGGAAGTCGGAAGTAAGACTTCCGAATTTGGTGCTGGCGCCACAATATTGAGCTTGAAGTAAAATAATCGTACATTTCATAGTTGGCATGAGGTAACCGTTCTCAATTTACGTAACGCACATTTTATAAGTGCAATCGGTGTTTTGATGGAGAGCAATCAGCATGGCCTCAACAAGCAGAAGACCTCGGCTCGTGAAGCATTTGACAAGCTGAAGGACCACTTCGAGAAACCAACACTGACGTCAATGGTATCGTAGCCTGATTACGAAACGTTACAGCGAAGGCGAGGACATGGAGAAGCACGTGAACGAAATGGAGGAAGTTATCGACCGTCTGTCCGTGGCAGGGCTGAAGCTGGACGAGAAGCTGCAAGTTGCGTTGGTGCTTAATAGTCGTCCTAAGTATTTCAACACTCTGATGACCAAGTTAGAGAGCAAGCAGAGCTCCTTAAAAACCATGCTGATCGACGAAGTGACGAAACAAGGAAACTACAACACGGTAGCAGTTGTGTTCAGTGGTTTGTACGTCATAAAAATCACCCACAACGTTTTGAAGACCGAGGTTAAATCGCACACGTAAAACTGCCAACACACGTGGCACAGGAAGGTGGTCACCAAGATAACGATGCCGTCCAGGAGTTGTTCAGAAGGATGTTGGTAACCGGCATGAAAATCAAAGACTGTGATACGGTATGTTTGCGAGTTCTCCCAAGAAGGAACATTTGCGAGACTTCCGTTTCCGAAGAAGTCCAAGATATGATCTAAGGAGTTTTTCAACGTCTTCCACGTGGACGTATGTGGTCCAATGAAGAACGTCACACCAGGGCGATGTCGGTACCGTTCCGATTCAAATTTCGGACACTTTCATTTTTAATTAAATATTACATCCAGTTAGAAACAAAGTAATAATGTTAGATGATCGTGGAGGGCACTAGTCAAAAAAATTTAAAATTTACAAGACATGTGGATCATATTCGACCGAGATAATCAACTTTTAAAAGTGTCCGAAATTCGAGTTTAAGTGTCCGAAATTTGAATCGGCACGGTACTATCTCGTCATCACTGACGATTATTTTCGCTAAATAACCGTGTTTTTTCCTGTGGGTAAAATCTGATGCTGAGGAGAAGCTAATAAATTTTGTGATAGAGGTGAAGAAGACGTTCGGCAGACCGCCGAAGGTTGTTCGTTCCGATAATGGTAGTGAGTTCAAGAACAGGTGGATGGAGAGTTTTTTCAAGAAAGACGGCATCAGGCAGCCGTTCAATACACCCCACACCCTGCAACAAAACGGGACAGCAGAATGCAAGAACCACTCTTTGAACAAAATGGCACGGTGTATGCTGCTGGATGCCTTTTGACGAGGTACTGAGCTGGAACATATCTAACTATCTTCAAAATCGACTACCTACCAAGTCATTGGAGGTGTGATCTCGAAGCAGGTATAACCACTTTTCTCCAAAATGGGTGAAATTGTACTCATTAATGGGTACTTTTAAGTTACAGTGTGGTGGGGAGAAAAACTGGACCTGGGCTACCTCCAAGTTTTTGGAGCAGACGCTTACGTGTGGATCCTGAAGCAAAATTGAATCAAGTTGGATACAGCAGCGCAGAAGATGACTTTCGTTGGTTATTTAGTGTAACAAAAAGCGTACCGATTCATGGACAGAAGCACCGGACACATTATCAATAGACGAGATACTCGATTCTTGCCGACATGTAGCTTCCAGGGTGAAGACGATAACAATGGAAGTATAATTGACTTACCGCAGGTTGTACTTCACGCAAACCAAAAAATTGTTACTTTCAATGTTAGTTCCATTTCGTATCATCCTCGGTAGCGAATACCGCATATAAGCTGGCCTGGCAGATGCAATGGTTATTTTTTTATTCGTTGGATTACATCTTTCGGCAACATATTGGGGGTGCAATTTAAAAAACCCAAAATCGAAAGCATTACGAAAAATGGTCAGATGGATTTTAATTCTAAACAAGCCAAACGATTGGAAATTTTTCTACGAATCTACTAAAATGAACACTTTATCAATTTTCAATAGGTCACTATTGAAAATTACACAAATTTCCAACTATTGCAATGGTGATCAAAATCATTGCCTGCAAAAAGCGCTTTCCTTAACACAGATTTAAAAAACAAATACCATCCGGTCTCACTGAACGGTGCTTATTCAATCACCGTGTTTGGTGGTTTTGTCGGTCATAATCAGCAGCAGCAGCAGCAGCAGTGCTTTAGGCGCGTGGCTTTGAACATTGTTCTCCAGTACACAACGAAAAGCTGCCCGCAAGTAGTAAGCTGCAGCCCACATGAGCGTCCATTCACCGAAGGAGGAAGAAGCCGCACCGCTACTGATCGGAATCAGAAGCTCTTCGTGAGTCGCTGTGGGCCATCTATGCCAAGTGCGTCACTCTCGTTCCAAACAACATACAGCTCACCAGCCTCATCTGTGTTGATCACCCTAATAGCTCAGCATAACTCAACCATCACGACAAAACGACCACCATAAATTTTTATTTTCTGGACATTTGTCAAGGTCATCAATCGGAAGTCGGTCGTGGCATGAAAGTGGTTTGAATTCGATCCAGAGATGATGGATTTTAATTCTTAATATGCCAGACGATAGGAAATTTTCTGCGAATCTGTTAAAATTAAGATTTTATCATTTTTCAAAGTGACACTATTGAAAATTGCACGAATGTGCAACTGTTGCTATGATAATTAAAATTATCAAAATTGCTTTCCCTTACACAGCTATCTATGCCCTCGTTCCTAACAACATACTGTTCGCCAACCTCATCTGTGTTGAACACACTAATAGCTCAGAATTACTCAACCATCCCGACAAAACTTTTCAGGACCACCATAAGTTATTGTTGCTTAAGATTTAATTTTAATTGAACGTTCGCTCGCCTAGCTGCCAGCCACATCACCCCCAAAGCTCTTTGATAATGTACCCAGTGATCAAACGTATAAGGTGTGCGTACCAGTCAAATTCAATTAACAAAAATTACTTGTAATTTTGTCAGCAGTTACAGTTGGAAACAAATTACTCACGAAAATTTTAAACCATTAAAGAAAATCCAAAAGAAAAGTTATAGAAATTATCGTGGATTTTTAACAAAAAAAAAAAATGTTTTCATATTTGGAAATTTATCAGCTTTTTTTCGGTAAAAATTTCAAGGTGGTATCTTATACCGTTTTTGAGATATGCCCGAAATACTGATGACCGGTCTAGCGCACTTCTTTAAAAAAATCAAATTGTTCTTTCTCCTCGCACATCGTCCGTATGTGTAGCAGCTTAAATACATACCTACCCATCTATATTATAATAAAATCAAATTAAATTATATTAAAATCAAGGGGTCGGCCGAGTTGAAACATATAAATCAAACGATCTGGTCGACATCATGAATTACGCACCTCACTTTACCTCAGCTAACTGACGCTTCCACTTCGCTGATCGTCTCTCCAGTTTGTGAGCCATTTAGCTCCCAGCGTCGCGTTCTACTCGGTTAACCCCGGTAGTAGATTCAGCCTACTCTGACGGAGAGTTCTCCCAACTTCGGCTTTCACTTCGCACTTGTGTGAGCACATTATTACTTTCTAGTTGGTCTTCTCACCATTTTCGCTGCAGCGCTGACATGATCTGCGTTACTGCTCTGCTGACAGCGTTAAAGGTGCCCTCCTCTCGACACATTTCTTCGACGACATTCTCCGCGGTAAGGGCGAGAATATCCTCTCGCACAGCATCAAATCTAGGACATTCGAAGACCACGTGCCCTGGTGATTCTTCCACATTCCCACACTCCGGACAGAAGGGTGACATTGTGCGTCCGAACCGATGCAGATACTTCTTGAAGCAGCCATGAACAGACAAGAACTGCGTCAAGTGGAAGTTTACTTCTCCATGCTCTACGTTGGGCGCTTCAACACGGGAGTGAAATATGGATGCGCAACGGAGTTGGGCGCTTCACGAGGTCAAAAGAATCGGTATTATGTAGCCTGTGTGTCCATCTACCGTTCTCTGCTGCATCTCACTCCTGCTGCCACTTAGCCATCGACACCGTTCTCACCATTTTTCTTACTCCTCTGGTTTCTCTCGTCATATAGCACTCGTAGTCCTCCGCCAAGGTGATGCCGATTGGGATCATACTAACATCACTTCTGTTTTTTTCTTTTTCTTTTTATCTCTTTATTTGTTCCAAATTCAAAATAAATTATTGTTTTGGACATTTGTTCTAAAGTCTCAACATTCGAAATTCTATGTACCACGGTAGTACTAAATATAACAGGGAGGCAACTTCAAAATGCTTTTTTCCTGGTGGTGCACAGCGTAAAACATGGCCGGTCTAAAAATTTGTTTAAATATTAGAAGTTTATTCGTCAGGCAATGTTTGGATTTCCTGTTTATAAGAGGATACAAACATTTTATATATTTGTTACATTTGGCTTGAATGACCTTAATGTGATCTTTAAAAGTTAATTTTTGGTCAAGTACTAATCCAAGATATTTCACTTGGTTTGACCAGGAAATTGGAACTCCGTTCATAGTGACTATGGGACTACTACTAGGTTTCAAAAAGAAA